AGAATGCTTCTATTAGAATTGATGCCCTAAAAGGATAGTTTATTAATGTTATAGCTAATGAATCCAAAGCACACTCGAAGCTTGGAAGACCGATCGGTTCTTAAGATAAAAATCTCCAAAAGAAAAGGACAAGATAAAAATATGAAAGATGTAAATATTTATAAAACAATCCAAAATAAATATGATAATAGGCTTCTAGAAGAAGTCCAAATACTTGAGAAAAATCAAGAGATTTTGATAAATTATGTCAATAAAGAGAGAAAATAAGGATCAAAAAGAAATATTTTTTTATATAATGTTTCAATTGATATTTTGAATGAAAATAAGAATCCCGAGCCTAAATTATTGAAAATGTCAACATAAAAATGATTGACCTAAATGAAAAGAGCAATCCAAGCAGAATTATATTCTCTTATAAAAGAGTAGTTTTTTGAACCCATAGCTAAAACACCCGAAGATGTTGAGCTAGTGGGATATAAATGCGTATTTATGCGAACATAAAATAAGAAATGAAATTGTAAGATACAAAGCAAAACTTTTAATACAAGAGTTTTTGCAAAGAACTAACATTGACTATGAGGAGACATATTCTCCTATAATGGATGCAATTATATTTTATTATCTTATTAACTCGGCAAAATATATAAAAAATATTCATATGCATGCATTTAATGAATGAGATCATAATTTATCTCGTTCATTTGAAATGAATCAGTATGAAAGTCCTAAAAGGACTTAACATGCCGTAAGAATGTAATATATATTCTCGAGATAAGAATTCAATTAAATTACAGTAGATCTCTATTATGATTATTTTAGTATTTGTTTTATTATTTTAGTTTTTAGAAATTCAATTTATACCTTTTATATTTTATTTTTATATTTACTCGTTTATTACTAACCCATGTGCATGTGATATAATCATTTCAATGATTATTTATTGAAAGAAAGTTATAAAAAATAACTCTATTTGTTCATGTATTTTTATTTGAAAAAGAGTTTGTTAGATATGTTGATAACTTAGATATTATTGGAACTCCCGAAAAGATTCTAAGTGTCATAAGTTATCTAAAAAGAGAATTTGATGTGAATACCTTAGGAAAACAAAACGTTATCTCGACTCGCAGTTCGAGCACTCGGAGAATGAGATTTTTATTCATCAGTCAATTTATATATATAAAAAAAAGTTCTACAATGATTCTATATAAATATCATTCATTGACTAACCCAATGGTAATTCATTCACTTGATATCCAAAAAGACTCTTTTCAACCTCGACAAGACAACGAAGAACTACTTGGTTCCAAGTATCATATCTTAGTGCCACCGATGCATTGATATATCTTGTTAATAATACTCGACTTGATATAGTCTTTTCTATAAATTTATTAGCAAGTCATAGTTTTATTTAAATATGAAGACAATGAAGTAAAGTTAAATATATATTACGTTATCTTTGAGTAATAATTGATATGGGCTTATATTACTCTAATAAATCAAAGACAAGATTAATTGGTTACGCAGTACAAGTTATTTATCCGATCCACATAAAGCTCGATCACAATCGGCTATATATTTGCATATGGAGATACAGCTTATATCTTGACGTTCTATGAAGCAAACTATAGCCGTCACATATTCAAATCATGCAAAAATATCAATTCACGAGGCAAGTTAAGAATGTATTTGGCTAAGATCAACGATCCATCATATCCGAGATATATGTAGTTTATCTATCAACAAAAGAACACCAACAATATCATATGAGGATAATGTCGCTTATATAATTTCATTGAAGTAAGAATACATCAAAGTGACAATCTAGCAGATTTATTCGCTAAAGCATTACCTATGATAACTTTTGAGAAGATGATTCACAAAATTGAAATACATCATTTTAGAGATCTCAAATGATGTTTTCAACATGGGGAGGCCAACATTAAGATTAATGTGTACAAGGAATATTATACTCTTTTTCCTTCACTAGGATTTTTTCCTACTCGGGTTTTTTTCTAGTAAGGGTTTAACGAGGCATATTCCTTGTATAATGGACATTGAAGGGAGAGTGTTATGAAATAATAAATTTCCATCATCATGTTCATCTACTTTTCATATCCCCACTACTCATGATTCTTAATATGATTCAATTCATCATTCAATATAAAAAATTGAAAGGATGATGCAATTAATTATTCATAGTCCCTTCCAATTCTCTTCTCAAATTTGAAGCCTATAAATAGGTTTGATTGTTTATTAGTTGGTGTAGAAGTTTTTTAGAGAAAAGAAGAGAAATTTTGAAGTTTTTATCACTTGTATCCACATTATAGTAATTTCATTTTCTTATCATCCTTTTCTTCAATTCTTCCATTATTTCTATTTATTTTATAACATTATAGTATTTTTTTTTATCAAATATCAAGAGAGTTTTAGTTAAATTTTTAAATTTTTGAATGGTATTTATAATTTTTACTATACCCCAAAAGAATCTATTATAATTTACTTATTCTTAATTTAACTAGTATGAATAAAAATTATATTAATATTTTTTAAAAATATTCACTCAAAAGTGATTTAAAGATTATAAATATCATTTAAAAATTTAACCAATAAAGGATGCTTTGGATAAAAAAATATTTTTATCTTCATTTTTTATTTATTTTCACAAAAAAAGAGCAAAAAGATGAGATTAAGAGGGAAAAAAAGATTGACATATATCACAATTTTGTAAGACTAGTAGTTTCATTTAATTCTATTAGTCTAAAAATTTAACGAACGAACTTAAAACAACAAAAAAAAACAGATTTGCATAAATAAATAAAAAAAGAAGAAGTAAAAAGACACAATCAAAACAAAAGAAAAAATAAAAAGGACTATACATTACAATCATCAATCCATGATCAGTTAATATTACAAGCACAAATTTATGATTTATGAGAGTACTGCCCATCAATTACATTGATAATCGATAAAAGAATGCAATTAAATAAATGAATTTGCTACATCAATATATTAGTTGTTACATATATAATTTGTTAGTTTTATTACTTTACGATTTAACTACATCATAAATTACGATGCCAAAGGTCCTGATGTCTCAAATATCTAAACTTTCATCGTTTTCATTTCCAATCAATATTTGGAGCATGTTATTTTTCTTTTTTCTTTCTTTCTTTTAGGTGAAACTCAGAGACAAGTTGTCCATAAAATGTGCCACAATTTTTACTGTGAATCATCCTATAATAAAAAAGTCAGACATTTTTATTTTTGACATGATTAGATTTTGACTGAACTAGTTAGTTGATCAAATTTTGACCAAGTCACTAAATTAGATGATTCAGTTAGAAACCTATCTAGACTAGGCCCCAAGGTTCATATTGTGTTTGATTTTCTATGCACATTAAGAACATTCATCAAATACTATATTAATTCATCTATTTATCTCTACTGCAATATCTTTGAATATGAAATTTGAATTTAAAATTTTATATATGTAAATCTACACTAATTTCAGCCTTGTAGAATTTCTATTTTGTATTTTGTGTGCTTTTTTTTTTTTCCTTCCAATAAAGTCAAGATTTTAAGGAAAGAATCCGAATGTTACAATATATGACTGGATTTTTATTTATTTATTTATTTATTTTGATAATTAGGATCTATTTGTACATCTTTTTAAGCAATTTACATCTTTATTAAAAAGGAAAATGTATTACGAGTGAGAGAAATTATTAAATATTCTTAGAGTACTAGCAGTGCTCAATCACTTACATCCTAAATGAATAATAAAAAAAACTTTTAACATATAAGGACCGAGTTGCAAAAAAATGCAACCTATTGACTATAGGGTCTTTTACAAAACTAAGAGTACCAAAAAAAAACTGTTTGAGGGCTTATTGTAAACAAAAATTAAATTAGAAGGATCAGAATATATTTTATGGAAATTGTAGGGACTAAAAAGGTAAAATCGTATGGGCCGGTGTGTTTTAGTGAGTAGAGTATGGAACTGACTAAAAGGCCCGGATAGCAACCCATTGTCATCTTCGAGCTAGAGCCCCATTGCTATTGGACCTGCTGCTGCAGCTGTTGGGTTTAGGACCGTTGGGTATAGCTGCAGTTTTTGAAGATTGTGCAGCCTAATATTCTGCCGTTATCGAAGGTGATTGAAGGCTGTACTATGCGGCCGAGTAGAGAACAGGACACATTCGGAAGGCGGTGAACGCAAAAGCTGCAACACATCCCAGCTTCCACGTTAAGCAATGGTGGCCCAAAAGTTCTGGGATTATATAACAATTGAGCTCAGATGACACAAGCAAATCTTTTTCTTTTTCCTTTTATTTTTGTTCAATGACATAAGCAAATCAAAGGGGGAATATATAGACAAATTATGCACACAGCAACCCACAAATACAAGGCCGGGTTCAACAATAACATCAACAATATCTCATTTTATAAGGCTAAATGCCAACGTCAAATGTATTATCTATCAAGTTGCTCTCAAAGAATCCAATATTTCTCAATTAGGCCTAATTTCTAAATAGATGCATCGTAAAATTCTATTTACAATTAGATACTGCAACGAAAATCCTCACTAAGATGTACTTTAAATATTATTATCTTAATTTTTTTATGTTATTTGATTTTTATGTATAGAAATTCATATTGTTAAGAAATTAAAAAAAATGTTATTGAAGCACCAGAAATATTTCATTTATAATATCTACTGTATATTTTTCAGAATCACTTTATTCGTTTTTTAAAACCACAATCTTTTTCTTAATCTTGCATATCCTCCAAAAAAAAAGAAAAAGAAAATGGAAAGAGAAAAAAATAAAACAAAAGTCTACAACTGCCCTCTTGCACAAGTCCTGCTGTATGAATACCTTCACATACAACATAACTCGAAGTATAATCCTAGCTAGTATTGATTGCAACCCACCAAATTGACACAGTACAGAACGTACAAAACTACCAGTTAATGACATTAAAAAGAAAACAAAATTTAATTAAAAGTTCCATGGATCTTGAAACCCATCCCAACATCCACTAAACCCTTCTCCACTACCCATATTTAAACCTCCCAGTGGAACCCCGACACCATTCACTTCCAATAAGTCATTCTCCAAAGGCAACTCAGGCGAATACAACCTTTCTCCGCCTACAACCAAATCTGAACATGAAGTAGTCTCCCAAAACCGGCCATTAATATTATCCATATCTCTAGCTGAACCCTGACTAGAAATTGTAGTTTCTGATACAGCTAAACAGCTTGCACCAATTGGCCCACTAGTAACACCAGCACCAACATCTTGACTACATACTGTAGCATCTTGCAGGTGACATGTACTACTTTCAAGACCTGTGGAGATCATATTGCTGTTAAGAGGAATATCTGGCATGTGATCATGTGGCAAATTGAGGGCAGCTGAGGGACCATAGAGCTTTATTGCAGCCTGATCATAAGCCCTTGCCGCATCAAGGGAAGTTTTAAAAGTGCCTAACCAAATCCTGGTTCCTCTAGTTGGTTCTCTAATTTCAGCCACCCATTTACCCCATGTTCTTTGCCTAACACCTCTATATGTGCACTGTGCATTCTCTGGACCTCCTTTGCCTTTCATGCACCCTTTTCTTGATCTTCCCATGGAAGGTTTCTTGGCACTTGCTTCTTTCTCCATGTTTAGCTAATTAGTAATCTCTCTCCCTCCCTTCCTAGAGTAGTAATAGTGTATCTTTTAAGGGCTTCTAGTTTTAGTTATACTGAGACGATAACCATTACTTAAGCTAGGCGGTCTTTTGAGGATTTAAAGGGGTTTGGTGTTGCCAAATAAGCAAATCCAGATGATACGTAGGAGAAGTGGGCGATTGACACGTGTAAAAACTTGAATGAGGAATAGCTCGGCATGGAATTGACGAGACAAGTGGCAAACAGTTGAAAACACATGTCTTGATATGGTTTTAGCTACTTCAGCATGAAGGATCTAGCTCAGCTAAAATTTGATGTCTTTTGGGGAATCTGTTAGGTTGCATTCCAAACTATGGCATGGGTTTTTTTTTTTTTTTTAAGTTTTCTGTTCTGAAAACTGACATGTCATTTAATCAGGACTTATGGTGGTGGATTTGTACTAATGGGTATGTGTGTGAAAAGCTTAGTCATGTGGGAGGAATGGTCGAGAGAAAGCCACGTGCTCCGCTGATCAGAAACGAGAATTTTTTGGGAAAATGCTAGCATCTACGAACTTATGGTTCAATTTTAAAAAGTCAAGAGTCAAGATCAAGATTTAAAAAAAAAAAAAAAAGGGAAAGAGAGAATGATGATACACCTACATGATAAATTTTAGATTTCTTGAAGTAATTAGGCTAAAATTTCTAACCATTCCTGAACATTAAGTTATCTAAAGTTGAATTTTTTTATTGATTTTGAGACCTTCTGAACCCTTTTTTTTTTTTTTTTCCAAATGTACCTTATCTTTTAGTTTTTTGTTATATACCTCAAAAATAAAAATCATATAAATATTTTTATGATGAAAATCATTCAATAATATTTATGTTGGGCTCCTAAAAAAATTTAGGATCATTTCGGAATTATTTCTATTTTTCTTAATTTTCTATATTTTTAATTTTCAAAAAATAAACAATATAGTTTTCGATTTTGAAAAATTCTGAATTTTTTTAAAAAATAGATTGAATTTTTCTAATGCGTGCGTAAATTTTCAGCTCAAAATCTCAAGAATTGAACTTTTTATAAAAGAAATATGATATCCGAAAACCAATGAATGGATTAGATCTTAAAAAATTAAAAGTTTAAAAATCTCTAAAATCAATAAAAAAAAATTCATAAAATCAATTTCAAATCACTTAAAGTTCAAGGGTGATTATACCATTTTAGCCTTACTTTATATGAAAAAAGAAACATAAAAAAAAAGAGAGAGAATTTAATATATATATTTATTGAGTTTAGATAAAGATATTTTTATTATTTTTAAAGTGTTTGTAAGATATTTCATCTTTATATATGTCTCTATTCTCAAAATAGACTCATGAAATAACTATTGGAGTAACTTTAGGATTATACTAAAACTAGTATTTGACCTACGAGTTGTCGCGAGATTCAATTTATAATTATATATTTTTGTTCGGACTTTATATTTTTTTTAATTACATATGTTAATATTCTATTTTATCATCATATTTATTTCATTTATGTCTTAAATAGGTTGACAAATAATTTGGTGCAAAGTTCAATTTTAAACCTTCTTTTTATTCAATGGAGAGACAAATCTCTAGCAATACTAGTTGAGTTTACAAAATTTAAGAGTTACAATTCCCTAGATATTCTCTAATAAGAGGTTAATACAACCAATTGGAGCATTCAAATAACAAGAAACTCCTAGTTAAAAAAAAAAAAAAGTATGAGAAGTTAGTCAATTAGCCAAGTTATTCTCTCTCGTAAGCATGTGAAATTTGAACTTGTTATTGCTTTTACAAGAAGTTACAAATGGCATGAACAAGCTAATTGTATTGTTCATGGCTATCTCTATGAGAAGTTATTAAGTAGATAGCTAATTGAGAATAAGTTTCAAACAATACTTGCCGATAACCAACTTCCCAAGCTATCTCTCAACCTAATGAGAATGTCCTATAATTCATCATACAAAATCAAACAAACACCAATGTGCTAGGCAAATCCTTGAATCTAGATGCCTAATTAATCTCGAAGAACACCTCCAACGATGGACATACCAATGGAACTACGAAAGGCACCATCGGTGTTTAATTTAACCAATCTCTTAGGAGGTTTACGTCGACCAATTAACACTTCATATTTCAAACAAATAGGTTTAAAAACCTCATTAATTAATTCAATACTAGCTACAATTTGAGTCATCAAAAAAAGATATTGCGGCAACTAGATTAGAAAGAGGTACTAAATCCTCAAAAAAAAAAAAAAACTCTTATTTTGCTAAGTCTATAATAGACAACAACAAGTTCCGAACCATATGTTCCAAGGACCGAGAGCAGATTAAAAATATTTTGATAAAACTCTAGATTAGGCCAAAACTATTCTTTCATATTAAGATTAAAAAAAAAATCAAGAGTACCGAGATAATAAAATTGCCATTTATTAATGCTCGTAAACATATATATTTTTCTTAATATTTTACTAATATAAGTGTTACTTTCTTTTATATATATATATTGACTCAGCTTTGTTTGTATAATATCAAGTAATATCGTTTCAATTTATATTGATTATTTAGTTTGATTGAATTCTTATCATTACTAGTTTATTTTTCAATTATCACTTTTTGTTGGACTAAGGGTTTAATCAATTTTTTTTCGATGCATCAAATTATTAATATTGTGGTATTAATGATTCGTCTTGAGAATGTGTTTATAGATTTATTATTAAATCTAAGGCATGTGGAACAATATAACATGATGTGTTTGAAGGCTACAAGTTGGACAAGATTATTATCAAGAGAGAATACTTTTTTTATATTTGTTTCATTTTTATTTTTTGTCACATAATGATAAACAAAATTAAAATCTTATAAGCAAGTGAAAAAAATCATTGATAACTCGCACCATATAATAAAATAAAATAAAAGAGATTTCCAAAAATAAATGAATTTTATAAAATAATTGTGGGGTTCAAAATTAGGTTATGACACTAGCTATAGGTAGTCTTTATAAAGAGATGTATAAGATAGTTTAATTATTTTAAGGGCTAAAGATCAATTTGTATTTTATATATAATGGAAGTTCGGAAAAAAAACACACACAATTTTTTGCTCAAAGCTCTCTAAAATTGTCAATGAAATGATATGTTTTTAGGTGATTGTTATTTTTTAAAAACATAATCAACTTCTTATCTATTTTTTTAAAACTAGTGTTGTTTTAAGTTTTTCTAGTCTTTTTAAAGTACTTGATGGTGATTCATGATTTTAACGCTTTTTTAGTATGAAGGTCCTATATACCGGTAACGACATTTATCGTCTTCATAATCCAATAAAACACATTGCTTTGTCTTGTAATGTATTGTTCTCTTTATTTATAAGCTTTATCCTTTTGATTTCTCTTGTATTTTCAACAATTCTTTTGGATATGAAAAGACTTGTCACAATTATATCACTTTATTTTTTATGTGACCGAGGTTTTCCTTTAGGCTTTTATCCGCCTTTTCCGTAACTAAATTCTCTATCTTGTTTATCGTGAGAAACTTTACTCTAAATTCTCTTATAGTTTTCGATAACAACAAGTACACAAGACTTTAAAGTGCTTAACCTTTTTCTCATTTTCTCATGGTGAAAAAGACTATCATTCACTATCATCAAAGTAACTTCTCCATTCGAAGTAGAGTTACAAAACGACACCACCAAAGTCTCCTAACTATTTGGCAATGAACTCAATAAGATTAATGTTTATATCTCATCGGCTAACTCAAGATTCATCACCGACTCTTGATTAAGAAACCTTTAAAATTATTAATGTACGCCGAAGCATCATTATCATCTTTATACTTCAAGTTTAGGAGTTCTTTAATCGCGAAACCTTCGTTTTTTACACTCCATTTATGAAAGTTTTCTTCCAACAACTTCCAAACTTTTATAGTACCGATGTTTCTAAGAAATATAGTTGATGGATTTAAAAGATACATATTTTTAATAGTGACAATAATTTTTCTATTCATCGACTTTCGTTTTGACTCTTCAATAACGACAAACTTATTTCCTTTACATTCAAACGGCAAAGCCAAATCATTATAATAAATATAATCCTCTATCAATATCTTCGATAGTAAATATTAGAGTAAGTGAGTTTTATCATACTTGAATCTTTCTTCTCCATTCTAATTATAGAAGAAAAATCGATCTACATAATTCAAAACATTGATACTACCATATTGAGAAAAAGGCACCTATGAGAACCAAAATCAAAAACCACAAGTCCAAAATTATTTTTCTTCTTTGTATAATTAAAATCAAGATCCAACAAAATCAATAATAATAAAAGTAAAAATAATTAAACCAATCACATAATCAACATAAGGATGCTTTCATAGAATACCTTGGCATGACAAAAAAAAAAAAAAAACAAAGACCATAGTCCGCTCAAAATCTTCTATTATATCAAATAATAGGATTGCAAAGTATATTTTCTATTTCAACTAAAGGACACACATCAAAATATCAAGCCACAAGCTTCAATAACTATAATAATAAAGTCAACATTTCAAAGATAAAATCCAACAACAACAACAAAGAAAACATATAGATCTCATTAGATGGGTTTCTAGAAAATATCTACGGATAAAATTTTTTCAACGATCAACATTGTTCGAGTTGAAGAGCTCGATATAAAAAACAATATATCAAAATTTTATCTTGATTCGATAACAAATCAACCTCCGATTAGGAGGACAAAGATGAAGAACTTTCTTGGTTAAAATTCTCCTCTCTCTATTTTCTTTTGCTTTTTTCGACGCCGATTCTCATCAAGCTAAAGTGATTGGCTTTTATATTACGTCACTCACATGACTTTTCGGTTTAAGTCTTTTTTTTTTTTAATTATTTACATGAGCTTTAAGCACTATATAAAAAAGGATCCAACCCAACATGATACTAAAGATTTGTTACTAAAATAAAAAAAATGATAAATAAGTAACATCCATACAATACTTAAGGTTAAATACTACATCCATTTAGGATACATAAAATAAAGAAAGATGGAAGAGTTTGTTTTTTTTATTTTTCCTTCTAAATAAGAGCGGATTATCATTCTAAATAAACCTATTAAATAACAAGGATGACAAGTTTATTGTTGTTAAGAACATAAGTTATAAAGTGATTCTATTGAAAAGAATTTGAATTTCAACATTGTTTATACGATACGTGCTCTTTTCAACCAACTCTATGAAATAAATATAAAAGTATACAAATATATAAAATTTTCTCATATGCACCGGGAGGGATAACTTGTAAATACATTTATTTGAAAAAAATATCCAAGGCCTTAATATATTTCAATTTTCTATCAATTACTTTATGGAAATTTTTTTCCCATCAAATTGTTATAAAATTTAATTATAAAATTGTAGTTATTAGTATCACACTAATCACCTCAATTTTTGTAATTAAGATTAGGTTTTCGTATCATGTGTCATTTGAAACACACACAAACAATAATTATAACACATTTAAATATGCATTACAATTAAAAGATATAATCAATATAATTCAAAAAAAAAAAAAGAGAACAAAGATTTAAGTTGTTGTCATTTTACCATCTTTTAAGGATTTTTAGAGTCTTTTGAGGTTTTTTTTTAGCTTTCACCACCGACGAGAGCATTTTGTTTTTTTTTTTTAATAATTTCATATCTAATATTCTATTTACTTGATTTGATGTCTTTTTTCTTTTGTATTTTGTCAAGTTTATCTAGTATTTGTCTAGTTTTTTTTTTTTTTTTTGATATTTTTCTTAGGTGTCTGTTTGGTAATCGGGAATAGAGTGGTGAGAATGGAAATAGAAGTTTTATTCCCACATCAGTAATTGTTTGATTAAAAGAAATGAATTAGGAATAGGGATAAAGAGTGGGAATGGAAATGAAAATTTACACACAACTTCATTCCCACATAAGATGTGGGAATAAAAAACAAGGAATAGGAATGAATTTTTTTTCAAAATAATAATATATTTTATTTATTTATTGTCTATTAGCTATTTTTACCACTATCACCATTACCACAACTACCACCACCACCACCATTACAAAAACCATAACCACCACGACCACGACCACCATAATCACCACCACTACCGCTGCAACAACCGCAACCATCACAACCACTATCATAACCACCACCATCATCATCATCATCATTATCATAATCACAACCACCACCATCACCACCACTATCGCAATCATTACCGCAACCACCACTATCATGACCACAACCACCACCATTACTTTTATTATTTTTATGACCATTATAGTTTAATAAAATTATTTTTTCAATCATTATTTTTATTTGTATAAAAAATTAAATATTAAAAAATTTAAATTGCATTTCGATTTCTTATTAGTATTCTAAACACGGTATTGGAATACAAATACCATTCCGATTCCTGTATTTTCATTCCCATCACTTTATTCTTGATTACCAAATAGCACCTTAGATTAATGTTGTAATTTAACTGTTTTTCTTGACTCTTATGGTCCTCTACCCTTATCTTTAACTCGTAATTAAAGTTTTACATAGAATGCTAATAAATTGAAAAAAAAATATGGATTGCTGAAAAAAAAATACTAATTGTAGTTTTAAATTTTTAGATTTGAATTTTAGATTTTTATTTTTATATAATATTTTTATTGCATGTTTTTGGATATTTTTATAAGGACATGTAAGCATGTCTATGCGAAAAATCATTTTATTTATTAGCCGGTTTAGATGGAGAAGTAAAAGCATTTCTAAGTTTCAATTCATGTTTGAAAACAAAGCCCATAAAACATGGGCCTCAACAAAATTCACTCAAGCCCAACGCCCGTCATTTGCAGAAAAAACGCCACTCCTTTCTGTCTTCTCAGCTGCCTCTAAAACCCTACAATCTAAAATACTACCACAACCATTTCTCTCGCCGGACCTTAACAATCTCTAATTCGGATCCTCAATCCGGATCCTCCAACAATGACGGACTCACTCACTTCCCTCTCCACCGCCGTCTCCACCTCCTCCACCAAACTCCGCCTCCGGATCTTCCGTCACGACATCGTCTCACTCATCAACAACGTAGAGATGACAGTTGAACTCGCATCGGTGCTAGTAGACACGATTTTTCGGACTTTATTCATTTATGAAGATCGTGGATCGAGAAAAGCAGTTGATGATGTGATTATTAAGTCATTAAATGAGGTTATCTTTATGAAAAGTTTCGCAGGGGCGGTTGTTCAAGCAATGGAGAAGCAATTGAAAGTTCAATCACACGTTGGATGTTATAGGTTACTTAATTGGTCCATTTTGCTGTTAACTAAGAGTCAATTCAGTTCAGTTTCAAAAAATGCAGTTTCCAGAGTAGCTTCAGCGCAGGCTGGATTGGTTAATCTTGTTATGCAACGATCGTTTCGTGAGCGGAGAGCATGCAGACGGATTTTCTTTCAATTGTTTTCTCAGGTTTAGTGATGATTATTAGCACTTGTTTGATTTTTTTTTTTTTTTAAATTTAGTTTTGTTGATGGTGATGTTGATGTTGAATTTTGATTGTTTGTGATAGTCGCCGGATATTTATAAGATATACATTGAGGAATTAAAGGATGGGCGTATTCCGTATAAAGAAAGTCCAGAGTTAATTCGGTTGGTACTTGATTTTTTGAGTTTGTCCAGTTCTCGTTTTGAGCAATGCAAGGTTAGAGATTGTTAATTTTGAGTTTTGTGGTATTGTGCAATGTTGCTTCTTGTTTGTGGTGTTAGGTTTTGATGTTCTTGTTATTTGATCTGTGCAGTTAATATTTATCGATATATACTTGAAAGCGGTTTTGAATGCTAGAGAAAAGCCGGGAAAGGGACTTAGTGAATGTTTTAGTCCGCTGTTTATACATTTCTCGCATGAGGATTTTCAGAATGTGGTGTTACCCTCTTCGGTGAAAATGTTAAAGCGGAACCCTGAGATTGTGTTGGAAGCAGTTGGGATTCTTTTGGAGTCAGTCAATCTTGATTTGAGCAAGTACGGGGTTGAACTTCTTTTGGTAGTGTTATCACAGGTTCGGCATGCTGATGAAAGTAGGAGAGTTGGGGCATTGGTTATTGTACGGTGTTTGAGCCAAAAGTCTAGTAATCCTGATGCTTTAGAAGCTATGTTCAATTCTGTTAAAGCCATAATTGGAGGTTTGGACTTGAAATGGTTTCCTGCACTGGTTTAAAACATTATTTATTATGGTTTAGATGATTAAGTAGTAAATCTGTAGAATTTTGGCTGAGATTATATTGGTTCAATGTGATCAGGGTCAGAAGGAAGACTGCAATTTCCATATCAACGAACTGGCATGTTCAATGCTGTGCAAGAATTGTCGTATGCTCCTGATGGAAAATTTTTAAACAGTCTCTCACGAACATTATGCAGTTTCCTTTTATCTTGTTCCAAGGATGAGGGTAATGTTTTACTGGATGAACTCCTTGACTGTTTTGGTCGGTGATATTTAATTCTTCTGTTAATTTGTGAATATCGAAAATCTCTTTTTATAATTTTTATGGGTGATTGTCTGTATGTTACTTCCCATATTTTTGACATTTGTTAGGTTGTTTTTTCCTTCCTATTTTTCCATCTTATCTTATAGGGTGCTCATTTGTCTCTGATGGCTAATTTTCAGGAAATGAAGAGGTAAAGCTTGCAATTTTGTCAGCTGTTGCTTCTTGGGCAGCACGCTCTGCTGATGCTGTCCAACCGAATTTAGTTTCTTTTATCGCTTCTGGCCTCAAGGAGAAGGAAGCTTTGAGAAGAGGACATCTTCGTTGTCTACGGGGCATATGCAAAAATGCTGATGCTGTTTTACAGGTGACATTGGTCAATTATTTCACATCCCTTTCTAAGATGATGTTTCCATCACTTAAATGAAACTTGTGGATGTTGCGTTACAGATATCATCTTTGCTTGGACCTCTTGTTCAACTTGTAAAAACTGGTTTTACCAAAGCAGTGCAGCGTTTGGATGGGGTGTATGCTTTGCTTGCTGTAGGGAAGATAGCCTCTGCTGACATCAAAGCAGGTTTTCATTACTACTTGTACTCTTACGATTGTTTTATTTTTTTCATTTGTTGTCATTAATAAGAGATAGCTTTAAACATTTCTTTCTGCATTTAGGCTGCTTTGACTTCTGATTTCTTTATCTTTTATTTGATCTTTCTTTTTCCTTAATTTTTTCTCAGAGGAGACTCTAGCAAAGGAAAAGATATGGTCTTTGATATCTCAAAATGAACCTTCCCTTGTTCCAATTTCTATGGTAACTATTCACCGATTCTTTGTTCTGTTCTGTTCTGTTTTTTTCTCTTTTCTTCTAAATGTTTCATGTTGCTTTTTAATTCCGCATTTGGTGGCCTGCAGGCCTCAAAATTATCGAATGAGGATTGCATGACTTGTGTTGATCTTCTTGAGGTGCTGTTGGTGGAACATTCACGCAGGTTGATCTTCATTTACACTCCACATTCTCTATTATAGCTTGCAAAAATATTTTAAGTGGCCCTTTTTATTGTCTTGCAGAGTGTTGGAAGCTTTTTCAGTGAACTTGCTGTTCCAGGTACTACTTTGTAGTACTGCATGAATTTCCTTAAGCTGATGAGAGTACTTGACTAACTGGCTATTAATTGGGTGCAGTTGATGGTCTTCTTACTCTGCCATCCAAGTTGGGATGTTAGAAAAATGTCATATGATGCTACCAGAAAGATAATTACTGCTATCCCTCGGTTATCTGAACCACTTTTACTTGAGTTCACAAATTTTCTTTCAGTAGTTGGAGAGAAGATCTCTCTTTTGGGGACAAGGTAACTCTTAAGCTGAGAAGCCTTCTCTTTTTGTTTCTGGTGTTAAAATGAGAGAGAGATAACTGTGATGTGTGGTGAACCCTTTATGATTATTATAATAAAATGTTGATTCTCAAATTTGGTGCTCCACTCACTTTGGTGACACATGCAAAAAGAAAACAAGCACTTTGAATGCCAATCAATTGATTCAATATTTTTTTCACTAGGATCATAGGTGATTCAAATTCAGGTGGACTCTTGTTCTGGTTATTTATATTAATGCCTTTTGTTCTCTAATCTTGCGTATGGAATCTGATTTCATGTGTCTGTAGTGATGCAGAAAATTCATTGGACACTCAAGTTCCATTTCTTCCATCTGTTGAGGTATTAGTGAAGGCTTTAGTTGCAATATCATGTGCAGCTCTTGCTACTTCCCCAAGCATATGTACACTAGTCATATTCTGCTCGCATCATCCATGTATGGTTGGCACTGCAAAAGTAGATGTTGTTTGGAAGGTAGCTCTTTCCCCTTCTCTCTAAATTTGCAGTTGCCATGTTTTTCTGGAATATTCTTGTTGAGTGAATTGATATCTATGATTATTTTTTAACGTAAAGTTAAAGGTGTAATTCAAGATGTAAATTCCCTATGCTGAGAATATTCAAGGTGTTCTGACGTAATGAGTTTTTAAAGTTGTTTTGTATCCTGGAAATATGCAGTGGAGAACAAGTGCTATACCAATTCATGTTTTGATCTAAACAGCTTCCTTATTGACTTGTATGATTGATGAGGAAAAGAAAGTTCAATTGTCAAAGCTTAGGGAAAGGGATTCTCCTTATGAAGCACAGTTTACTCCTTAATTTTATCTCAGCTATTATCTCATGGGTGATATGAAATCAATAAGATGGGAAAATCCAGGAAAAGATAAAGCATGCATTAGTTAAATTTTAAGCCATTCAGGATTATTATAGTTAGCTGAGATAGGATGAACTAATTAACAATGAGATTTGCTGAAGGCATGCCAAATTAAGTGGAAAATGCTCGAGATAAGAATGAAAGGTTAGTGAGTTTTCCTAACAAGAATAAAAGTTATTAGACTAATGGATGACTGCCAACATGGCCATAGCTTATTTCAGGTTTTAGACCTGATTCCATCTTTCTACTAATTTCGTTTCTTCTCTTTTCCTCTTCTCCATATGTAGAGGCTCCATAGATGTTTGCGAAGGCTTGGGATTGATATTGTTGGCATTGTTTCTGCTGATGTTGAGAATTTGTGCAAGGTAAATTTCAGCATCTTATTTCTCCTTAATTTATGGAAATGATAACAAATGGCAATTTTGAGTGGAGTTTACATTTTCACTTGCTTATTCCAGCATTGCTAGTGCCTGAACAACAGAACTTGACTGCATTGTCATGCAAAGACTATCTGATGGATTAGTCTCCGTTACTTTCATGGAAAATTTATCAGGGTGTTAAAGTTAGCTTGATTTGTACTGAAAACTTATTTGATTTGGTGGTGAAATATCCGCAAACTGTGTACTTGCAATTGCAGACATTATATGAGTTAGTTTCATAAATCCCGGAGATATAGAATTTCATATTTTGTCAGCACCTCCTATTCTTATGCAGCGTCAGCCTCCTCTACCTCCCCCTCCTAAATTTGCAGAAAGGGCTTTGTAAGAATTTGAGTTATGGATCTTGCTGCCTAGTCACCTTTACAATTACTTATTGACTCTTTAGTAGATCTGCTTATGTAACCAAAACACCAATGATCCGTATAATTTGAACGTTTTGACATTATGGTTCTTATTCTTCGTATATTCTTTAATTTGACTCTTTAGTAGATCTGCTTTTGTAACCCAAACACTAATGATCCATATAATTTGAACGTTTTGACATTGTGGTTCTTATTTTTTTTTTTTTTAAATGAGAAGAAAATGTTTAGTAGGTAGTTTACATCTTTTGTGTGCATGCCAGAGTGAACCTATGCTGCACAATTTTCTTTGTGGGTCTTGATCTTAGGCCTATAGTTAGAAGTTTGAGATTTTATCAACAACTTTGGATGGAGTCAGTTTGAAAATGCCAATTATTCATTTAGTTGACATGTGATACTTGTCAGTATGTGGAGCCAATATCCCTAGTTAAGAGCATCAACCGCCCAATAAAAAATTGAATTACAATCTTTATAATTTACCAACTGTATTCTTTTCTTGCCATTGAAATTTTTCCCCTTTGATGCTAGCATGATGGCTTCCAATCACCGAAAGTTTTTTTTTTTCATGTATCATTAATGAACATGGTTTAGACCGGAATTGGTGATGCAGTATCAATGGTTCTTGTTGTGGATCATTGCTGTTGAATTGTTTTCTATTTGTTTAGTTTTATCTTCCCTTGAATTAGGTTTTGTTCCAATTAATTTTAGTGTTTTTTTTTTTTTGGTGTGCCACAACCTTGCCAAGATTGCATGTTCATACTACATTCACTAATCTCTTGTAGTTTTTTTTTCTTTTTTCAGGTTCTACTAGGACCAATGGGATTGACAAGTTCAAATGTGCTAGAACAAGAAGCAGCAATAAATTCTCTGTCAACTTTGATGTCTATAACACCTAGAGATATGTATTTGGCATTTGAAAAGGTTGTTGCGTCTATATCTGCCATTTTAAACGAATACTTGATGAAGTATGGCCAAATGGCATATTTGTTAGTGCTGACTGCTGACCAGAATTTTCTTGTTCCCCTTGCCAGCAATTGAAAAATCTTCCTGATCGTTATTCACATGATATGCTTTCAGAGAATGATATTCGAGTAATGTTCCTAAACTCACTTAATTGCTTGATACTGGATTTTCCAAATATAAATCAGTCACTTTCTTATTGCAATGCTATTCTCAAGTTTGTTGCGTGTAGACTATACAAGTTTGAAATGGGAGATGAACTTTTCAATTTTGGAAGGGATACGCTGTCAAGTTGTTTCTTTCTGTCTGGTTGTTAGATCTCTTTGATAGCATGCATTTGGATGATGACATTTTAACTGCCCCTCTTGGGCGTGCTTTTTTTTCAAAAGTTGTTGTATATGATTTTCTGGTTCTTTTTATTTATTTATTTATTTTTTAATTGTAGTTTTGGTTTGAAATTGGCATCAGAGTGTATATGTAGGCCTTTTCCACTTTCTTGTGTCTGGATGTGGTTGCATGTGGAAAAAAATGACTAGTTAGGCAACCACAAGCCATTTACTTAATTTAGCTTATTGGGCCTTGACCTTTGAGTGTATGAAAACATATTAGCAGGCTAATATTTTGTTGCTGCTGTTACCGAATCTGTCTATTTGGAAATGCTGGTGATTATTTGTTTGGATAAGAAAATATTATTCGAGGGAGGACTTTTGGCAATGGATATGGCCCTACCCTTGAGGGCAGGAGCTTATTAATTCCACTTTTGTACAATTATTATTTTTTTTCCTGTATATTTGCCAACTGGTTCATTGTGTGTAAGGATAAATGTTTCTTGTTGCTAGGATGTGCCTTCTGTAATCTGGTTCAGTGTAGTTCTTTTTCTGAAAATTCTAGTTATCTCTTCCAGATTTTTCACACTCCTGAAGGAATGCTTTCCAGTGAGCAAGGTGTTTATGTTGCAGAATCTGTTACTTCTAAGAACACAAGACAGGCGAAGGGCCGTTTTCGGATGTATGAGGACGACATGGTAGCTATTGGTCTTATACTGCTCTTTTGCATTTATTCCTCTTTACTTTTTTTGTTCCAACTGCTCCCTGATGCTATTGTCATTTGCAACTGTGTGTGTTTCTCTTCCCAGAATCACGTCAATTCTAGTCATTCTGTGAAGAGAGAACCAGCTGGTGTGGGGAAAAAGGATACTGGGAAGTCAATGAAGAAAGCTGGTATGTTATTTTACACTTCGTACAATAATTGATAGTTTTTTATTGGTTGAAATGGTTTCCTGTTTAACATTGTCTCTGGCTTTTCTAGAAAAGGGAAAGACAGCAAAAGAAGAGGCTCGTGAATTAATGCTGAAGGAGGAGGCAGCTATACGTGATAAGGTTGGGAGTATACAGGAGAACCTGTCATTGATGCTGAGAGCTCTTGGGGAAATGGCCATCTCTAACCCTGTATTTGCACACAGCCAACTACCTTCTCTGGTTAGTGTCATGGAAACTGCTTTTTTTCTTGTGTGTTACCCTTGTTGATGTATAGATAAACATGTGATATCTTAGAAGCATTATGCCAGCACGTGGCTGTTCTGCTACTACTTAAATTGTTTTATGCGAAGATCAAGATGTTTGGTGTGAAGCTGTAGCATACGTTGTCATTAGCCTACAGTTCTCTCAAATGATCATTGCGAAACTACACTTCAACTGCCTTTTCTTTTCTGGTCCCGATTCCTCAGAAGTTGTCTTTGATCTCTTTTATTGTATGAACATCTGCATTTTTCATTTTAAGAGCCGGTTAGCAATTTTAATTATACGATGGCCCGTGAGAAAACAATATTTTTCATGTTAGAGAACTGCTTCCTTGGTGGTTCTAATCTATTTCTCATGAGTTCTGATTTTCTCTCTCAGATCTGGTGATTTAAAATATATATTTCGTGCCTGTATAGTTAAAGGAGTTTTTGCACTGTAGTTCTAATTCTTTTCTTTTGTGCATAATATCAGGTTAAGTTTGTTGACCCTTTACTACAGTCACCTATAGTGAGTGATGTGGCCTATGAAACCTTGGTGAAACTATCAAGATGTACAGCTGCACCTCTTTGTGATTGGGCTCTTGACATTGCTACTGCTCTACGCCTCATTGTGACTGAGGATGTTAGCGTTTTGTTGGATCTTATTCCACTAGATAGTGAAGGGGAAACCAATGAGAGACCTTCTTTGGGTCTTTTTGAGAGAATAGTTAATGGCTTATCCGTGTCTTGTAAATCTGGTCCTCTTCCTGTAGATTCTTTTACTTTTGTATTTCCGGTAAGTTTTCCTCCCTATCATGTATAACTAAATCCAATGCAACTTCTTGTTAATTTATATGTGACGTAATTGTTGTCAGATAATGGAGCGCATTCTATTATCTCCCAAGAAGACTGGACTTCATGATGATGTGCTTCGTATTCTCTATTTGCACATGGATCCACAGTTACCCCTTCCTAGACTTCGAATGCTATCAGTTACATATCTAAACTTTCTTTTTTGATACATCAATGCGATATATATGGCTTTCAGATTTCTCTGCATATTTTCTTGTTACTTGCTATATAATTCACTTTTCATTTTTCAGGCTCTTTATCATGTTTTAGGTGTTGTTCCAGCTTATCAAGGGTCAGTTGGACCAGCATTAAATGAATTGTGCCTTGGTCTAAAACCAGAGGAAGTTGCACCTGTATGTTGATACATTTTAACCTAGGTTGCTTTGGCTTTGTAACTCAGTTTAATCTCCCATGATTTTATTTTCCAAATATTAATGGTTGCAGGCACTGTATGGAGTTTATGCTAAAGATGTTCATGTAAGAATGGCCTGCTTAAATGCTATAAAATGTATTCCAGCTGTTTCCAGCCGATCCATTCCTGAGAATGTAGAGGTCGCAACTAGCCTTTGGATTGCTCTGCATGATCCAGAAAAGGTTTGGCTTGCCAACTGTGGTTTTCTTTTATGTAATTGAATTTGGAAATTAATTTTTTAGCAGAACTTAGTTTAGTTGGTACTTCAACTTATTTCTAGTATCAACTTTTCTATTGATTGTTCACTTGTATTATCGTTTCTCCTTGATATGTAGTTAAAAGTGTTATCTTTATTTTTTCCCTTGTTTCTGCAATTGCATTAAACTTGTTCCTCCATTTCAGATTCTTGTAGCTTGATATTTAATTTCTTAATTGCACTTTGCGCTCTAAGGATTCCCCCTTTGCCTGTCTACTTTCCTAATGGATCATCATCATTAATTTATGGTTTTGTCTATTTAAGAGTTTTGGGGTTTTTTCAGTTTATTCTAAAATGTATTATTCTATTAATAGTAAAATTTTATATTGACAGGATTCTATTTCCTGTTTTGTTATGATTTTTTTGCCCCTATATAAAGTATTGTAATTTTTATATTGGATTATTGTTTGATGAACGAGAACTGTCATTGAGGATGTTGCAATTTAGTATTTACTCTGTCAATTCTAGATACCTCAACTCTCGTTGTGGGGATTCAAGGGATCCCTTACAGATTTTCAGGGTTCTTCTATCCCTACTCTTAATTTTCAGTTTTAATAGCAATCATATTTTATTCTGCTGGTAAATTTACCAGAGGCTAAATACATTTATATGCCCATGATCCTTTCCCATTTTTGTTAGTTTGATTTATCTGGTACTTGCTGCTTCTCTCACTCCTTCTCATGTTGTTCCCTTCTTGGAGGTTTAGCCATCAAAACATCTATTTAAGAACTTGAGTGATTGACCAACTTAAATGCTGGGACTTTAGTTGTGACTTTATGCATTTGAAATGCACTAGGATGGTCTTCACTTATCAGATAATGAATGCTCAATATAGAAGTGTTCTGAGACATTTGAATTTAGTTTTTGTCATCAATCATTTGCTTGAATAGATAATTGGAAGTTTAGTGAAGTAGGATTTACCCATTTATGGTCCAGTCGAGTAGTGGATCTGGAAATATACTACGAATGTAAAATAAATTATACGAAAGGCTAATCTGGATGCTTCGATTGGTGAAGTCACAAGTAGTTCTGTGGTCATCTGGTGATTTTACTTAAGACAGCCATCATATAATTGGAGGCTAAAAATGGTTGCATTACCAATTTGGCAAATTTGATACTAGTAGGCAATTTGATCAAGTTTGACTACTGATTTGTATGGTTTTGTGCTGTTAAAACTCTCAATTTAGTTGTTGTTGTTGGTTATATATATATGTATATATGAGCAGTGGGCTCTCTCTTGGTCCCTTTGGGCCTAAGAACTAGTCGTCCATGGCATTGGATTTGTTACACCAAGTCATCTCAGCCCCTTGGGTTGATGAGGGCCCACCTTGTGATGCCATTTTGTTGTTCTCATACTAATCCTTCTACACAGTGTATCCTCCAAAAGATACCATTCTTCATGTCGACAATTATATAGATTAGTTGGTTCTGAACTTGATTCTTGGTAACATTTTTCAATTGAGATTCACTTGTTTTACTTTGCTGTGTTTAAATCGTTGGTTAATTGTTGGAAATATCGTGCCGTTTTTCCATTAGTTAATTCTTTCATTTGGTTGCTTGTTATGTTTATTAATTTAGACTCATTTACTTTTGTTTATTCTTAATGTTTACAGTCAGTTGCTGAAGCTGCAGAGGATATATGGGATCGCTATGGATATGAATTCGGCACCAATTATTCTGGACTTTTCAAAGCACTTTCTCATGTTGATTACAATGTTCGAGTCTCTGCTGCAGAGGCATTAGCTGCTGCTTTGGATGAAAAACCAGATACTATACAGGTTGGTTTGCTAAAGTTTTAATTCTTCTTTGGCGTACTGTTTTCTAATTTTTTTTTTTTTTTTTTTTTTGATCTTCTCAGGAATCGCTTTCTACTTTATTTTCTTTATATATCCGGGATGCTGGTTTTGGTGAGGATGCTGTTGATGCTGGTTGGCTCGGAAGACAAGGGATAGCATTGGCTTTACATTCTGCTGCCGATGTTCTGAGAACAAAAGACCTCCCTGTCGTTATGACATTCCTCATATCACGTGCATTAGTAAGATTTGTTATGCCATTCTGCTTCAAGCATTGTAATTGCATGCAAATTTTGCCTTTTCTAATTGAATTATGAACCCAGTTTTTGTTTCATTGTGCTTGGAATCGCATTGATGGACTTGATCTTGTAAAGCAATCATCAGCCTGGATCATGGAGTCCAATTAAGTTATCATGTGGTTAAGAAATATTTACTTTTACCAAATTATCAAATTCATTTTTGGTTAATTTTTTTGGGAGAGTAGGTGGCTACATGTTATGGTCCCTGTGTCAAGGATTGCATCACAGGTCAACGTATCGGGAAATCCTCTCTTTCCCTTGTTTTGGTTCCTTCCTTACCTAGAGAAACCTATTTTGGCAGTAACAATGGAGGTTTGTCCTTAAGAGACCTCCAGACTCCCCTAAGCCTTGTTGGTTATAATTCCTTTGATACTTTTATTCACTTACTATCCGCTCTTTTTATAGTAAAGGCGGTTGAAAAACAAAGACAAACCTAATAGGCTATTGCCTAAAAAAGACACTAACATAGAAAGTCTTAATTAAAATATCACACCAATTAGGACTCGTATCCTTTTCCCAATCTGACTTATTCTCAATAAATAATAAATAAAAGCAGTAAATAAATATCCTCAACATCTGAGTTTCCCTCCTCCTGCTGCTGCCTTCTTCTATACTGCTGACCCACGAATGCATCCGTAACACTACGGTCATTTAATCAAGTTCTACTTAACATTACACTGACATTTGAACTGCTTTTCATTGCAGTTATTGTCTGACCCATCGTCACTCCTAGACCCCTTATTTAAATAACTAGAATTCCAATAACTAGAAAATTCTTTTTCTAGTTCAAAACACTCATGTTATTGTTGGAACTCTTGTCTCACTATGTATTGATTAGAATAAAGCAACTATAATTCCATAAAGCAACTTTTGACTCTTCTTTGTCATTATTACCTCATATTGAGCAGAATCACCATTTGCATTTTGACATTTTATTTGGTATGGATGATCATGTATGCCTGGAAGCTTGTGTCATTTTAGCTTTTAGTTTTTGTTAATAATTTTTTAAAACATTGGCTCAATCTTCATCTCTGTCTTTTCTATCACTAATTTTTTAATGCTTCTATATTCTAGGGAGACCCTAATGCAGATGTTCGAGGAAGAATGATCAATGCTGGCATCATAATAATTGATAAGCATGGAAGAGACAATGTTTCCTTGTTATTTCCGATCTTTGAAAACTACCTAAACAAGAAGGTTAGTCTTCATTTAAAAAAATGCTTGACCTTTTTTTATCTGCTTTGTTTCTATATCTTGAAGTACTTCCTTTCTTCTATAGATGCAATAGACTCGGATATAATGCTTAAATATATTGGTTCTCTCATATAACTTCTCGTACTTAGGCATCAGATGAAGAAAAGTATGATTTGATTCGTGAGGGTGTTGTTATTTTTACTGGAGCTTTGGCAAAACACTTGGCGAAGGTTTGATTTTTATGTGCCTATGTTCCTTTTGTGGTAAATTCATATAGCATTTCTTCTTGTTCGGTTTTAACATCTGTACTTTCTTGTAGGATGACCCCAAAGTCCATGCTGTGGTGGAGAAATTGTTGGATGTCTTAAACACTCCATCAGAGGCTGTTCAACGGGCAGTTTCAACTTGCTTATCTCCACTAATGCAATCAAAGCAGGTATGAAGCAACGTTTGCTTAAAATAACGTTTGAAGTCTCAAAATTATGCATTTAGTTATTGTTATATAATGAGGCTTGGGCTCTTTTCATATTCTTTTGTGTTCAAATTGAAAACAATGAACTAGAGGTTGGATTTCTCTGTAGCTTCATTTCCTTCTGTTTGGGTTAAGAAGTTGTCGTGACATCTCCTTTTCTTGCATCAGGATGATGCACCTGCTCTTGTTTCTAGGTTATTGGATCAACTGATGAAGAGTGACAAATATGGGGAACGCCGTGGCGCAGCTTTTGGACTTGCTGGAGTGGTCAAGGGATTTGGAATATCTTGCTTGAAGAAGTATGGAGTTGCTGCTGCAATAATGGAAAGTCTTGCAGATAGGTATATTCACACTCTTGTTTGGGTTTAGTTTGTTAAAATAGTATATTCCTCTGATTCTGGTCATTTTCTTAAATCATGTTTGTCGATGTTGGTAGTTTCTCTTAAGTTAAATTAGCGGATCCTTTTCTCTTATTATTTTCGTGGACGTGCACTCTGATTTCTTCGATTGGAGAAGTCAACAAGAATAAAATTATGTTTTTAATAGGTTTCTTGTACCTTTAGTTGTCAGCAGTGGGGTTGGAGAGGTTCTCTGTATGCTAAGCCAAATTGAGCTTCTCACTGTAGTTATTCATGTTCACATTTACATTTGTAATTTTGGTCTCTAAGGAGCTTGTGTTTCTTTCTAACTTCAGGAGTTCGGCAAAACATCGTGAAGGAGCTTTGCTGGCTTTTGAGTGCTTTTGTGAAACGCTTGGAAAATTGTTTGAGCCGTATGTATTACATCATTAAGGTCTAAAGAGTGCAATGTTGTCTGTGCAGATTTCTTTGTATGGTTAAAATGTTTTTGTTTTTCCTTTTTTTTTTCAGGTATGTGATTCAAATGTTACCATTGCTTTTGGTTTCTTTCTCTGATCAAGTTGTAGCCGTTCGTGAAGCTGCTGAAGGTGCTGCTCGTTCAATGATGTCTCAACTTACTGTGCAGGGGGTGAAGCTTGTACTTCCATCGCTTTTAAAGGTGCTAGTTATGGATTTAATCTTTTTACTTATGCAGTACATTTGTTTAATAAGATAAATACAGCAGATTTTGAGAAGCAGAGGTTGACTTGAACTAGGATGCTGTCTTTATTGTGCTTGTGCCATGTTTTACTCTCTATTTTTTTTTTTTGTAAAGAGAGCATTAAATTTCACATTAGGACCATTCTTTATTAGTTTTGTTATCTTGTGCTGTTGATATAGTAGATAAAAATATATATTTTTTCCTTTTTGTGTTTATTTGTCCCATGGCCTCTTACTATTTGAATTAGTTTGCACTGTTTAAACATCTCATAGTGCTCAGCTGACCAAATTGTTGCATAAATGCATTTTTAAACTCAGGGTCTTGAGGATAAAGCCTGGCGGACAAAGCAAAGCAGTGTACAACTTCTTGGTGCCATGGCTTACTGTGCTCCTCAACAACTTTCTCAGTGCCTTCCTACAATCGTGCCCAAACTGACTGAGGTTTCTAAATATATACACAAGCCTTGTAGGTTAGCCTTCTTTAAATATACATAAATTCTTGACTTCGGATTTTTTTTTTTTAATGGACCAAATTTAGGTATTAACTGATACGCATCCCAAAGTCCAGTCAGCAGGACAAATGGCACTTCAACAGGTTATATGTTGTTTTTTGTTTCTTTTCTTGCGGTTGTTTTGTGATTTATTTTTCATGAATCCTTGGTGCTTAACTTTTCTTGACTAATTGTCCATAATGTCATCTTAGGTCGGGAGTGTGATAAAGAATCCAGAAATATCTTCTCTTGTCCCTACACTTCTCATGGGCCTTACTGACCCCAATGACCATACAAAATATTCTCTGGATATCCTCCTCCAGGTAAGGTTTATGGATGAACCTTTGTTTATTTTATTAACTATACTTTAATCTGTTTTGTGTCCCTAAATGCCTTTTCATTTCTTGCAGACAACTTTTGTTAATTCCATTGATGCCCCTTCACTTGCATTATTGGTGCCTATAGTTCATAGAGGGCTAAGGGAGAGGAGTGCTGAAACTAAAAAGAAAGCTGCACAAATAGTTGGAAATATGTGTTCATTGGTTACAGAACCAAAGGATATGATTCCTTACATAGGGTTGCTTCTTCCTGAAGTTAAAAAGGTACATTTTTCACTAGAGTTACGTACATATGTTAGTATACAGTTTGTCCTTAATGATTTAGTTTGATTTTGAATAAGAACAGGTTCTTGTGGATCCAATTCCAGAAGTTCGTTCTGTTGCAGCAAGGGCCATTGGATCCCTTATTAGAGGAATGGGCGAGGATAACTTCCCTGATCTTGTTTCATGGCTATTTGATGCACTTAAGTCTGATAACAGTAATGTTGAGCGCTCTGGAGCTGCTCAAGGTTTGAGTGAGGTATTATTGGTTACTCTTTGAATTTCTAGCTGATTGCTGAACCAGTTTTCCACTTAATTAAAGCAGCTTATTATATGCATAAGCTGCTCATTTGACCATGGATACCTGTAATGATTATGAAGCAATGCTTTTTGAAGAAAACACAAGTTTTTGTGAATTTGTATACTTTGTTTAATCTGGTATACTTAGGGGTTTTGGTATATCTATCTCCAGGTTCTAGCTGCACTTGGCACAGAATACTTTGAACATGTGCTGCCTGATGTTATCCGAAACTGTTCTCATCAAAGGGCATCTGTGCGTGATGGATATTTAACACTTTTCAAGGTGAACTAATTTGTGTCTGAGAAGATTCTCGCAAACAAGTGTCGGTTAATTTTTTTTTTTCCAACTACTTTGGTTTTGCTTATGACCCTTCTCTGATTATGTTCTTTTATTGCAAATTTATTTGCAGTATCTGCCAAGATCTTTAGGTGTTCAATTCCAGAATTATTTGCAGCAGGTGTTGCCGGCAATTTTAGATGGTATACTCACTATTTTTTAAGGACATTTGTTGCAGTTTTTGCTGCTTAGATTGTTCTGTTCCTTCTTTAAAAAAAAATTTCTTTAAAAAAAATAGAAATCTTTATGGTGGACTTATAATAAAATGGCCGGTTATATGTTTACAGGTCTTGCAGATGAGAATGAATCGGTTCGTGATGCAGCATTAGGTTCTGGCCATGTCCTGGTGGAGCACTATGCAACAACGTATGCATTCTTTGTCTTGCTGTGTTTATTTCTATTTACTTGGTGCTGGGCTCAAAATTTACTTTTGTTCCCACATATTTGAAACTGCAATTTGTTGAAATTCCTCAAAGGAAATCACATTAGAATTTGTGACAAGCCAAAACTTGCTGCCATTTTTTTTATTGTAAATTTTATTTTTCTTTTAAGTTGGAATTATTCTGATTCTATGGAAGTTACATGCAGTCTGTAATAGCTGTCAGTGCCTTAAGATTATTTGGCATATTTCATGAGATCTGTAATTTTTGTTGGATAGGTCCTATTTTATCTTATTATGTTTTTTTTTTTTCCCTCAGGTCCTTGCCTCTTCTCCTTCCTGCTGTAGAAGATGGTATTTTCAATGATAGTTGGCGCATCCGGCAAAGCTCAGTGGAATTGTTAGGAGATCTCTTGTTTAAGGTTTATACTACTACACCACTTATCCAGTTCTCCATTGTTCAAGTTCCTTTAGTTAGCCTTCTGAGGAAGCCTTTTTCCTCGTCCAGGTAGCTGGGACTTCTGGAAAAGCTTTACTTGAGGGGGTAGTGATGATGAAGGTGCTAGCACTGAAGCACATGGACGTGCTATTATTGAGGTTTTAGGAAGAGATAAGCGTAATGAAGTTCTTGCTGCATTATACATGGTCAGAACTGATGTCAGTTTATCTGTGCGTCAGGTAGTGGCACATTTTCATCTCTTTGTGTTGCATGTGGTTGTTCACTTATTATATCTATGTAAACTGAAGGTTCCTGTCCCTCTGTTCAGGCTGCCTTACATGTATGGAAAACTATAGTGGCAAACACTCCTAAGACTCTCAAGGAAATAATGCCAGTTTTAATGAATACTTTAATATCTTCTCTGGCATCACCGTCTTCTGAGAGGCGGCAGGTCTGTTCTATTTTTTTTGGATTGTGATATTCTTTTTTTTTCAGCGTTTGTTTTGTAAAAATATTTTCTTTTTCTTTTCTTTTCTTCTTTTTTTAATATAGGTTGCAGTACGTGCATTGGGTGAACTTGTTCGAAAGCTTGGCGAAAGAGTGCTTCCTTTGATCATCCCAATCTTATCCCGGGGGCTGAAGGATCCTGATGCTAGCAGAAGACAAGTAAGAATTTATTTTTAGCTACAGTATACACTCTCTCTCGAAAATCCCTCCCCATCGATACTGTATAGTAAAATAATCATAACAGGCAGATATCTTAAACTTCCTTCTAACTGGCAGAGGGATATTAACCATCAAGTTCCCATGCTTTAACCCTATGCATGTAAGCCATGCATGCACCACAATCACCATTTGTTTTGTCCAACCCCCACCACACACAACCCCCTCTCTTCAATATGAGACACATTAATCAAGGAATTTGGTCAGAAGAAAAATAGAAGAATGAATCTATCATGAGAAAATTAAAAACATTATTTTTCGTGTAATTCTCATATTGCTTGTTATTACAGGGTGTATGCATTGGTCTGAGTGAAGTGATGGGAAGTGCTGCGAAGAGTCAGTTATTGAGTTTTATGGATGAGCTAATCCCTACAATCCGGACTGCCCTTTGTGATAGGTGAGTTCAGTATACTACAAGTAATTGGCTAAATGTCTGGGTTATATGTCATGTTTTGATGTTCTTCATATCTTTTAACAGCATGCCTGAGGTGCGTGAGTCTGCAGGCTTAGCATTCAGCACTCTGTACAAGGTAAAATTTTCAAGTTTCTGGGTTTTGTTTTAACTTTCATGTTTAGATATTAGGATAAATTTCAATAACTTCCTTGAGGTATTAGGAAATTATAAAGACAACCTAAAAGTTCAAAAATTTGACTAAACCCTCTCCATGTTTAAAAAATATTACAGAAACCTCCTTTTGTAGCCCAAGTGTCTTAAATTTCTATTTAAAAAAGAGATCTAAATTAAGAACTTAAAGAAACAAAATAGAGAAATAATATAAAAAAAATGTGACATGATTATTTGTTATTACTTATACATTATTAATTTCCCTAATTAATTTTAGTCAATTTTGTTTTGAGATTTTTTTTTCCTTATATTCTTTCTAAAATTTATTATTCTGACCTTTTTTTCCCCTTTCTAAATAGTAATTAAGGGCAGTAAAATAGGGTGTTTGTGTCAAATCTTCAAACTTTTTCATGGTTCCTGTAATTTCATGACACCTCAGGGGAGTTATTGCAATTACCCTAGATAGTAATTTACAAGGACCTTAAATTTTCATATGATTCAGAGTGCTGGAATGCAAGCAATTGATGAAATTGTTCCAACACTGCTGCATGCTCTTGAGGATGATGAAACCTCTGATACTGCTCTTGATGGTCTCAAACAAATCTTAAGGTAAATGTCTTGTGCAGCCTATGTATTGAGGATCTCTTTTTTGTGTATATTTTTTCTACTATATATTGTGGTTAATTGCTGTTCTTGTGAATTTCAGTGTCAGGACTACAGCTGTTCTGCCTCATATTTTGCCCAAGCTGGTCCAACTTCCCCTTTCGTATGTGTAGCCTCCTTGAGTTGCTATAACTTTTTAAAACACACGCCCATTTATTGATTGCTCTTCTTCTAAGACTTTGAATATGTATCCAGTGCCTTCAATGCACATGCACTAGGAGCCTTAGCAGAGGTTGCAGGACCTGGTCTTAACTTTCATCTTGGCACTGTTCTTCCTGCTTTACTTTCTGCAATGGGTGGTGAGGACAAGGTATGCAACTAGTTTGAAAAATTCCTATCAAATTATAACTCTTGTTTGCCAAACTCTAAATTTCATTCTTATTTTGGCATCTTGTATCACCATTATTTAGAATAGATCTTAAATTCTTTTTATTGTGTTAGATTATCTACTGACTGTGGAGTTTGTAGGATGTTCAAGTTTTGGCTAAGGAGGCTGCAGAAACAGTGGCCTTGGTCATAGATGAGGAAGGTGTTGAGTATCTGATAGCTGAACTTATTAAAGGCGTTGGGGATACTCTGGTATGTAGCCAAGTTATCCTTGTCCCTATGTATTTATGCATCTATGTATATATCAATAATTTTGGTTCTGTAATATCACTAATTTTGATTCTGTATTTTTATGGTGTCAGGCTTCAATCAGAAGAAGTTCATCATATCTGATAGGATACTTATTCAAAAACAGCAATTTATATTTGGTTGATGAAGCTCCAAATATGATATCTACACTGATTATTTTGCTTAGCGATTCAGATTCATCGACTGTTGCGGTAACTATCAAATGCATAATTCATGGTCTTCTTCAGTCTGCTGTAAATTGCATCTAATGTTCTGGTCAATAGGTTGCTTGGGAAGCTTTATCGAGGGTCATTGGTTCTGTTCCTAAGGAGGTACTTCCTTCGTATATAAAATTAGTACGTGATGCTGTGTCCACATCGAGAGATAAAGAAAGAAGGAAAAAGAAGGTTAGTGATCACTATTCTGCACTGTAGACAATTGGATATGACTTATGATACTGTCAACAGAAAACACGGGAACGTGCATCTTTTCCTTTTCTTGTCTGAGTTGTGGAAGAATGACTAATCTTGTTATTTTCTCCATGTTAATATTTTTTGCAGGGAGGACCAGTTGTCATTACAGGTTTCTGTCTCCCAAAAGCTCTTCAGCCATTGCTTCCAATATTTCTTCAAGTAAGGGTGCTTTTTTTGCTTATTGTCAAAATATTGTTCTTTTCATGTTTTTCTTTTGTTATTCTTAGTGTCAAAATATTGTTCTTTCTATATTTTTTTCTTCTTTTGTTTGAAATCCATCCTTGCCTTATATGCAGCCTGCATTTAAGATGTGATTTGTTAGATACTACAGTGCACTTTGATTTATTAGAAATCTCTAAGAAAGATTAGGAAACATGGCTTGAGATTCCCACTTTTCTTTTCTTCCACGCACACATGGCAATTTTGAGCATTCTGTTTATCTGTAGTGAAATTGGTTAATATAAAACTTTCTTGTGAGCTTGGCAAGGCTTTTTATTTTTCTTTGCTGGCCACATCGATGTTATGCTTCTGCATTGTATGCTGATTCACTATCAATTAATGATATGGTTTTGGAAGTGTGTTCTTACTGCCTCAACACTTCCTTTGGGTGATTTATTACTAGTGCCAGGTTTCCTGTTATTGTTCTTGCCATTTATTTATTTATTTTAACTTGTCGATCTTGTGAAGTTTGTATTTTTGGTCCAGTTGTCTATTGTGTTAGAAAAAGTATCGATCATAGTTATTTGTGCCTCTTATCTCATTTCTGGTTATTCCCTGGACAATTTCATGTAGGATAATCTTGTCTTTGATATCTTATTGCCTTTTTAGGGTCTGATAAGCGGCTCTGCTGAATTAAGAGAGCAGGCAGCACTGGGTCTTGGGGAGCTCATTGAAGTGACTAGCGAACAAGCATTGAAGGATTTTGTCATTCCAATCACTGGGTATGCTCCATAGACAGTTAGAAATCTAGTTTATACTAAACTTTAATATATCTAAAAAAGGTCAGTACAAGTTTGGACTTCTAGATTTAGCTCATCATAAAGTACTATTGGTGGTTGGAATTTTGTCTTCTGTCTTTGGAAAATGTTAGTTTTTTGCAGGACACAGTCCAGGATTCTTTTTGGCTTCTATGATATTCACTGATTTTGTGTGATGTAGTTAGGGTTGAGTGATATGTAACATCAACTCATCTTGCCATTGAATCACTTCTCATAACTTTTTTTATCAACTGTGGATTTGGATAATCTTTTTAGGTTCTTTTTCATCAACAGAAAATTTTTTATTATCTTATCTCTATGCAATGTGAATTGCATGGATATTTTAACAATAAAAACACTTTTTGGCTATTTTTCATGCAATCAATTTTATCTCTTAGAAACACTCAAAAGGTTCCTGCTCCTAAAATAATGGTCTGTGAAAAGAAATGGATTTTGAAGTATTTGTTATGAGTCTTTATGTGCTAAAAGCCTTGCAAAAATTCCAGATTATGTGTATCAGTTATCAGTAGGTGCTGGTAGCTTCATAATCTGAAGAAAATTGTATATTGTAGTAAAAGTTCATCATGACCTTATATTCTGTTCTTTTCGAAGAATATGTTTACTTCTTCTTTTTTGTTTTTTTGTTCTGGCCAGATTTATTTTTCCTCTGTTCTTGGGGTGATTATTGCTTTTATTAATACACACCTTTTGATAATTGATTATTAATAAAAAAAAAAATTATTTTCCTATCCACAATTTTCCTAGATGTCTACCTACTACACTAATGTACTTTTTCTATAATTACAGGCCTCTTATCCGGATCATAGGAGATCGGTTTCCTTGGCAGGTGAAGAGTGCCATCTTGTCTACCTTGAGCATCCTAATACGGAAGGGTGGGATGTCCCTGAAGCCCTTTCTTCCTCAGCTCCAAACAACATTTATCAAGTGCTTACAAGATAATACAAGGTTTGTTTGTACAATATAACTATTGTAGAATGTTTTCATGATTAATTTGTGATTCTATTGTAACACTTTTTTTCCCTTAATATATTTTTATGCATGTATCTTACTTTGGCTTGTGTATTGTCTGTAAGTTCCTATACATCATCTTCCTGCTTATAGAGTTCTTGAGTGAAATTCAGGACGGTTCGTACAAGTGCTGCCTTTGCACTTGGAAAGCTTAGTGCACTCAGTACTAGAGTTGATCCGCTAGTCAGTGACCTCCTGTCCAGTTTGCAGGTATGTTTGTCATTTTGCTTCCTTGCCCTGCACTGAAATTTGATGTGATCATGACATCATTGTGATTTTGTTGCTCAGGCATCAGATGCTGGTGTTCGTGAGGCAATTCTCACAGCTTTAAAAGGTGTGCTTAAGCATGCTGGGAAGAGTGTGAGTGGTGCTGTCAGAGTTCGTGTATTCAGTCAGCTCAAGGATTTAATTCATCATCATGATGACGAAGTTCGAATATCTGCTGCCAGCATATTGGGTATCACTTCACAGGTCGGTTTAGCTATTCTATGCATCTTGGTTTTGCAAATATATGTTTGATTTTGACTGATAACATATTCTAAACACTAGTCAGACCTGATGTTTGTTTTGTTTGGATGGGCTGGAATTACCATCAATAACACCCAAGGTTGACACTACCAGGCTTGCTGTTGTGTGCAGTGCCTGGACCACCAAAAATAAGCCAATGCCAGTCTATTGTTATGGTTTTTCAGGTTTGAGCCTGTCAGTGTGCTGCATTTAAAAGCAAGGATTAGAAAAGAGGGAAAACAAAATACTCTTAAGGTGGTGGGTTTCAACTACAGAATACTGTAAGATTGCATGATAAACATGACAAGAATTCAAAAGTAACCATAGGACTCCTGCCATACTTGTATCAACAAGAAGTTACTAGGAATTACTTAATTAGGAACTAGTAGCAGTGGTACATGTGAGCTTGCCAGGCTGTCCAAGCAGAGGTACGTGCTGGCTGATCTTGGGTCTAATGAAATGAGTTTTGAAACTGGGCTTGAGATGGTTTTTTTTTTTCCCCTAAAAAAAAAAAAACTACATTGAAAAGCTAAATTTTGAACTGGGCAGAACATCATGTTATTTGCATCCTACACTGCCCTCCCTGTATATTCCTTGTCGATTGCTATCCTTCGCTTTCCATTAAAATTACAGCTTAATTTTGCAATTTTCTTATAATTGTTCTCACTCAGTTCCAAATAATGATATTGCAGTACATGGAAGAGCCTCAACTGGCAGATCTGCTTGAACTACTTTTGAGTTTGGCATCTTCTTCTAGCTGGGTTTCTAGGCATGGCTCGGTACTCACTATTTCATCCTTGCTAAGGCACAATCCTTCTTCTGTTGTTACATCTCCAATGTTTCCATCTATCATAGACTGCCTTAAAGGTGCCTTGAAAGATGAGAAGGTATTGCAGTTCTAACAGTTGTAATTTTATACTTCTGTATTTTATCAATTACTGAATATGCTCTTCTGCAAATTAGTTTCCTCTTCGTGAATCTTCAACCAAGGCATTAGGAAGGCTTCTACTTCATAAAATTCAGAGAGATCCTTCTGAAGCTACTGCATATGTGGATATCATTTCGACAATAGTGTCAGCTTTGCACGATGACTCCAGTGAAGTCAGAAGAAGAGGTTTATCCGCTTTAAAAGCTGTAGCAAAAGTATGTACTTTTGCTTTTATACTCCAATGAATTCATGAACATTTCTGAAATTTCAGGCACTTGAATGTGGCATTTATTTTTTCAGGCAAGTCCTCCATCAATTATGGTCCATTTTTCCATCATTGGCCCTGCACTTGCCGAATGTTTGAAGGACAGCAGTACTCCAGTGAGACTTGCTGCAGAAAGATGTGCTCTGCATGCCTTCCAGCTGACAAAAGGTATTTCCATTAAATATTGATCCTTCAGATATTGATCCAATATCAGTTTTCTATTGTTTGCGTTGTTTATTGTCAAGTGAAATTAAAATTTATCCTTCTATCTTTCATCTTTCAACTGTCCATGTCACTGGCCCAGTTTTTGCTCTTATAATTTCTTTCGAGTTTTTTCAATGTGAATTAGGAATACCAAGAGGGTTCTCTATTTTAATGTTTTGGATTTATTTTTTCAGGTACTGAAAATGTTCAAGCTGCTCAAAAATTTATTACAGGCTTGGATGCCAGACGACTTTCTAAGTTCCCTGAATATAGGTAATCTGGTTGAACATTTAGTTTTGTTCTGGGATTTAGTTCTATTTGAACTTCTTACTTGTGCTGAATATAATTTAGAAGGATTAGAAATTTGCTTTACTAACGGTGAGTCATTCTTTGTTATATAGAGTCATATTCTGTCCACTTGCATATTTATTGGTACCAATTACACACTTTTGCCTTTTTTACTTGGTAGAAATATACTTGCATGTATATATGCATTTATGAAATTTTGTTTTTCATATTTGTTTGTATGATATAATGTTCTTAAATGATGTATCTGATTGCATGTAGCTCTTCAAGGAAATAAAATAGATCTGGTTTCCAAGCACATAAAGAGAACGAATACTGATGAAGAATAATAATGATACATACTGTGGGATCTTGAAGAAAATAATTGGAAAGCAGCCAAACCTAAATGCTTAATGGGCATGATTGTTTAAGTCTGAACTTTGCAAATAATACCAGCATATATGTTTAAAAATAATGGATATAAAGTCAAATTGGAAGGGCTTTGTGACGTTTATATGGTACTATGTCATGTTTCTAGATTCCCTTATATGATATATTTTCTTAGAACATTGTTGTTTCTATTGCAGGGGTGCAGTAATATGTAGGATAGCATCTACTTGCTTATAAATACATACATTTTCTGAGTTTAGATATCTGGTGCATTCTTGTGTATGGTCTCGATATGTTGGTTATTTACAATTTTTTTCTGGTGGCTGTGGAAATGCAGTGATGAGAGCGAAGATAGTGAAGAAGAATTGACAAGTGGCTGATAGCTGATTGCTTATACCTATTGAGTTTTGCGTTCTTCAAGAGGTATACTAGTCACACTATCAGGAAGTTTGGCCAATATTTTTTGTGGCTTTTTTGTGCATAGGAGTATATAGTGATATTCACTTATAGTGAGATAAAGAGGTTTCTAGATTCCCTTATATAGTGATATTCACTTATAGGAAGATAAAAAGGTTTAAGACCATCAGTTTTGAATGCAGATGAGACTTAGATATATTGGCGAATTTTAGCTCTCATTTTTGTAAGCCATTGCAATTGCTGATGAATGATATAAGGCGGGTTTTGTTGTAATTTAGGTCTGTACTATTAATTATGAACAATTTTGCTCCTTGCCTTGCTAGATTGTGATGCTTCTCTTCCCCAATAACAGTGCTTGTTCGTTGTTTTGTCTATGATTATGTTTTTCCTAGATCATACTTTTATCTTGATAATTTGTCAATATTATTGTTTGGTCCAATGATACACCAAAAACTTTTTCAACAGCTCTTAGGAAGCTTCATAGTTTTTTCGTAATCTCTTTTTCTGAGGCTTTTCTTGCAAAACATAAAATTTGTCTTGGGGATGAAGCTCAGTTACCTGGATACAGCTTGTATCTTAGTTTTAAATTGTGGATGCTGCTATAAAATAAAGAAATGATTGCAATTGTGGATCATGGATTATTGTAATAGGAAAATAACCAAGAAAATTGATGTGAATGCATTAGTAGGCTAGCAATTGTTAATAAAATTATTTTTAACCATTATATTAATCAAACATAATTATAATATCTCTAATTGCTTAATTTTATATAATTATAGTGAGTTTATTACAAAATAAAAGTTAATAACACTTTTGGTACTTTAATATGAAAAAAAATGAAATATAAAGATTTATTTTTAAATAACAATTGATTTTCATTAAACGAAGGCAAATAATGGTGTTTTGTAATTAGTTATTCATTGATTAAGGAAAATAATGGTGTTTTTTTTATTATAGTCTTGTAATCAAAGGATATACAAATAAGATTTTTAAAATTATATCATGAAATAATCAAAAGTTTTAACATTTCACAATGTAAAGATAAATTTTATGTATACAAAAAGGTTAATTAGAGCTTTATAGTTTTTGTTGTTTTATATGGAGATAACAAATTATTTTTTGGTTATGACATTATCATGTCACAATTTTAGTTATTCAAAAATTTCTTTATGTAAAACATGAGAGGATAACATACATTCTAGGAATCAAAATCTATAGAGATATATTATGTAGAATGTTAGAACTCCCTTAAGGTACGTATTACATAATACAAAAAAGTTTAATATGAAAGAATTAAAGAAAGGATTTTTTTCAATATTACATGATTTGATGATAGACTACAAATGATCCATAGCATAAGCTAAGGAACTAACGTCTTATCAACGGTCAAAACATATACTCGCAACATTATCACTCGATTAGAGAGATTATTAGTCGTGACGATATAAGTATATAGTCGATTCACACCGATGATAACATAACAAATCCTTTGACTAGACTTTTGTCATAACGAAACATGAAACACTTGTTTGATTTCGAACATAAGGGACATGACTAGTTAACTCTAGTGCAAGTGGAAGATTATTAGTGTAGGCACCCTAGATCCAACATTGCTTGGATGATTTGATATATTGTAATATTGCATTTTAATATTAATAAAGAAGTCTTTTGATTAATTCTTGGTATTTCTAATTTGATAGAATTAGATAAAAGTCTATATTATACGCATTACATTAATGATTGATTGAAATATATAAGACAAAAATCAATGTATTTAAATGATATCATTAAATGTCCCAAGTCGTAGCATTGTTAAGATTGGATATTGGCAACATTTAATGTAACTTGTGAGTACTATGCTTTAACTACTAGATAGTAATAGGAGATCTTACACTTACTCGGTATAGTGATGTTAAAGCAAGCACTTAGGTGAATAATGTAAGAGAACATATATTACGGGATGTGACTCGCTATGATAACCCATTTGGTTTAGTTTATGGGAATCTCATACGAGATGGGTACAACTAGTCCTTTGACTTAAAGTCGTTATAGTTATCTCATTAGACGATTAGTGTACTTTGACATTCGTTTCGATTGACTCAATAAAGAGTCGCATGTAGACGATTTATTGAATGCATTAGGAATCTAATAAAGATATGTGGATAATTGAGATATGACATGTCATTCTTTATATGCTAAAAAAGTTATCATGTCACACTTCGATGAAAGTTTGTTCAAGGAATCCGTGGCCACGGTAAGAGTATACCAATAGAGAATAGTTAGTTTACTTTAGAGCTAAAACATTTGGGATCGAAGAAAATTTATATGATTATAATCGAACGGACTATAAAACAAGTTCAAGATCACATTGTGATAAATTAACATGAGGATCGAATTGTATGAAAATCATTCTCATAAAACGTAATTACGGATTAATTAAGCTTCTTAGAGAATTGAGTAGTTATAATACTTTACTAGAGACCAATTTTGATTCATGTATCAAGAGATAAAAGAAGTGTCTTTTTATCTTCTTAATACATTGCAAACATATCTGAAGCCTATTGAGTCACATGCGTAAGTTTAAACATTTACACAATAAAAGAGAAGCAAAGATTTTGTAAAAGGTTTCTTGTTTTGGAAAGTTTCCTATTTTAGAAAAGTTTCCTAAATTGAAAATTTTCCTATTTTAGAAATCATTTTTCGAGTTCCAAATTTAAAAGTCGATTACTTAAAAAGAAAATTAGTTTCTAATTTAGGTTTAAGGATAATTTGGAAACTTGCTTCTTAATGTGGACTCCACTAAAATACTTAACCCAATTTATTTGGATGGTCAAAATTAATTGATAATTAATTAGACCAAAAGAGTTTGGGCTAATGAGTATAATTTAAAAGCTCGTAAGATATTTTGATAAAGGGATAAACTTGAGTACTATTGGATAAGACTCAAGCTTTATAAAGATAAAGTTAAATAAAGCCCACGAAGCATCTCCTTAACCTACAAAGAGAAGTTATCGCCCCTTATACATAAAAGGAATGAGAGAGGTGGCAAGATGGTAAGCTAGAGCAAGAAAACACACAACAAAAATAAGAAAAAGAGAAAAGAGTTTTCTCTCTCTCAAACCCGTCACCTCTCTCTCTCACTCTAGGGTTGGTGCAAATTACCCTAAAGTATTTCTAGAGAAAAATTAACTACATGAAGGATTAGAGCTAGTACTCTACGATTTCGTAGCTTCGTGTGGGTGTTTGAGTTACATGGATAATCAATAGAGGATAGACACTTGGACTGTTCCCTTTCGTTTAAATTATTTATACTTTACAAGAGGTAAATCACCGACTTTAATATAATTCATGTTTATGTATGATTAGTTGATTCAATAGTATGATCTTCGGAAACCCTAGATGGAGAAAAAAAATTGTTCTATTTTGCATCTCCATAGGATGCATGGTTTTTCAAACTCCACCAACACACCAATTAAAAATCACAAACCACTTAAAAATCTCTCTCTCTCTCTCTCTCTATATATATATATATATCTCCTTCTCTCTCCCTCTCTTCCTTTCCCCATTTCCCTTTCTTTATCTCATTTCTCTCCCTTCTCTAAACTCCACCACCACATCAATTAAAAATCATAAACCACCTTAAAAAGACTCTCTCTCTCTCTCTCTCTCTTTATATATATATCACAACTCTAATAATTTACTACCATCCAAATTGATCACAAGCATCCACCATCCGCCTCAATAAAGTCCTACAACTTAAGTCATAGAACCATCCAAAACTAGCTTAAATAAGAGATAAGATAAGCAACTTACTATAAAAAAAAATCCCACCACTATCTATGTAAAAGCCATTTTCTAAATAGACACCATCAATAAAAAACCATGCACCATCTATCAAAAACCACAACCTAAGAAATCACCATAAAAAAACCCCAACTCTAGCCATCTAAATCCATTAGCTCCAAATCATTACCATCAATAAAAACTATTCACCACCTAATCAAATATAGAACCAAAATATTCAAATCACTAGCCCCGTTTACATTAAAAGACACCTAAAAAATCAATAATCAACATTTTAAGATCTATCATCAAACCTCTTAGAATTGACTCAATGAACTCGAAGAAATGAACAAGGATTGAAAGATTTGTATTGAAAACAAAGAGCTAAGAAAACTAAAAGAAAAAAAGAGTTTGAGAAAGGAGAAAGAAAGGAATAAAAAAATATCAAGGTAAGAGGAAAAGAAAAATAATATGAAAAAAAAATAGAGATAAAAATAGAAGAGGATTGAAAGATTGCCACCGCATCTTGTTAATGGTCGGTGATAGCCTACAAGGTTTTATATAGGGGCAGTGATCTTATTTAAGAGGGAGAGGGAGAAATTTTCTTTTCTTTTCTTTTTTTCATGAAAGTCTATATTGCTATTAGTTTTTCTTATAATAAGGAATTTGATGAAGGATAAATGGATTTTAATTATAGAAATATTTGAATCCTTTTTTTTTTTGGGATAAATTGAGAAATAATTATAACTAATTTTAGAAAAGAGCAAAGCCTCAAAATACAATAAGACACCCGAGTGTGAGTGAAAAAAACAAATTTTAGTGAGTAAACCTCATAAAAAACACATAATGATAATACCTATGTAAGGCCTACTCAAATCGCAAGTATAACAACTTTTTCTCAATTGACAAAGTGTAGGCACAATTTGCCAACGTATCTCTATTAAATCCATGACAAACAACCTAATTTGCTCTACAGCGCAAGATAAAAGCCATCTAAGCATACATGCACCTCCTCTAATGAAACCCTTTAAACATTATCAACAAAATTCAAATCCTTTTACTAGTATCTCCCCTCACCTCCACCATGTTAATCAACAAAATCAAGCTAATGCCATTGCCCACTCCACATCCATGATCAACTCCCACCAAAAAAAAAAAAAAAAAAAAAAAAAAAAAAAAA